GGCTTGATGACTGGTGAAATCACCGAAATCTACGGAAAATCAGCGGTCGGGAAAACGCAAGTATGCCATCGGGATTTCTGTATGTATCTTGCGAATTCACAGTGTTATTGCGTCAAAGTTTAACCACATTTGCTTGCTTATTCTTATTATTCTGCTGATTCGAAATCATTTTTCTGATATTACCTTACATAAATATGCATATGAAAGAGAAACAATTTTATCGCGAGATAAATCAGATGAATACATTTATTACACACTTTTCTGCAATTTTGCTTGTTTGAGATCATTCATATAATATTGTTTTATTCTAGTTTTGCCACCTCATTACTGCTGCTGCTCTGGCTCTCACAATTTCTCGGCCCGTTGAAGGACAGCAATCAAGCGACGAGTCGGATTCCAGCCTTCTTTCTCAACCCTCCACCTCTGTCCTCTACATCGACACGAAGGGAGATTTCGATGCCAATCTTCTAGCTGGTTTCATCAGCAGATCACTTTCTCGAAACTGTCGTGTTTGTGTACGCTAAAATGCATCCTCGTAAAACGTTTCCTCTTGATTATTTTCATTTTTTTATTTTTCTCCAATGGCCTGATTTCTCTCAGTTACTTTTCATCTCATCGTTTGCACCGAAATCTGCAAACTTTTCTTTGAATCATATTCTACATTTCCACTCCTTACATACTTGACGGTTATTTATTTGGAACATTATGCTTATCAATCACTTTTATTCGACAGCATCTTCTCTGCTCAATCTTCTACCAGCAGCATTCTTTTTAGCTCTTAGGCAACTTCTCTTTGATAAATTAAATGTATTTATTTAAGAGTTAGTTTTTTTCATCTTCGTTAACCTCCCTTACGGCAGCAATGCTCTTTTTGAAGAAATATCATTTTTTGCGGTTTTCTTACGCCAACTTTCATCTAAAGTGTGATATTCTCGATCACTATCTCTGCTGTCTATAAGCCACAATTGTGTCCTATTTGAAACGTAAAATTTGCGAATAATCTTGCATGAAGAACATACTCGAATTGAATCCAAGTTGTTTAAGTTGTCTTGTTTTAATTTTATTCCAAGTCATAATGCTTGGCTTTGTAGCAGCTTAAAAAGCATGTCTACTTTATGTAATCTCTGGCAAGTAGGCTTTGACAGAATCATTGCAAATTAGTCACATCTCTTCGCCGTTCTGGTCAGGCTTCATCTGGAACGTTGGCTTTTGTGGATTAGTTGGCTTGATGCCGCAATTGACGCATGACGAATGCTGAAGCCGCGGCTAGCAATGTCTGGAACACTGCCAAATTGGACTTGAGCACAATGTCTGTTCTTTGTGCAAATCAGTAAATGTGACCGAAAGTGTTGAAGAGAGAAAATGTTGTCAACGACTTAGCAGAGCTGCCCACTTTTAGAAGCAGAGATGAAATTTATTAAATATTTTTTATTCGTTGCAATCTAACTTTCATACCTCTTTGCTGACCGGTTCCAGCATCCTTAGCTTTTACTTTATCATGAATTAAATTAATTTTTTTCAGTCTACAAAGAATGTCTCTCAGCAACCGATTAAACTGTGTCCGCCCTGCTACAGCATTTTGCGTTCTAGAATGGCAAATGTCCGCCATCTTTTGGCTGCTGACATTGGCATGCTGACTGATGCTCTGGTCGTGACTCGTCTCTCGATTGATTACTACAACTCGAGATCCTCTTCTTTTGCCAATCTGCCTCAACAACCCATTTGTTCGAAAGTAGAGTCTGCAGCGACAAGTGATGCATCCGTAAATTCACTCCTTGCATCCAATCCTAGCTGTGACACTTTGAAAGATTCTCCTTCATCCACCAAGTCGAGCATGAACTCTCGAATTGATGCTGTATCAGTCCCATGTCGTCAGGATAAACCAATGCCTGAACATTTCACATGTTCCGGTACCTTTCACTCTTGCCGTCTCCAATCAACAAGCCACAATGTTGTCACTCCAGCCAAGCCGAGCTCCATCGAAAGTGATCTCCACTTCTTCACGAGCATGCATCTCTTAGTTGTTGACAGTTTGGCTACCCTCATTTCGCCATTCATGACTGGATGTCCTTTCCAAGGTGAGTGAAGGCATGCTTGCCATGTTCTGTATATAATTGCACCAGAAATATTTTCAACAATTGCTGAAATATTTGTATTTTTATGAATTCGCATTTTCATATATTTATAGAAATAATGCACGAGATCTCTAGCACCAGCCTGCAGTAAGTATTCTTGATGGATTGTCTAATTGGTCTTAGGAGGATAGAACCCATTCAAACTGTATATTCCCTACATTTTCAGCTTATCACAAACCGATGGGCGGATCGGAATGATTTTCTCTTTTTTACCCGCTTCCACATGTCAAGGCATGCACACGCATGATGCGATTGAAAATTCCCTAACTTTCACATCAGACAAAATTGTAAAATATTTCAAAGGATACACAATAAAACACACACCAATAAGCTGCATGTTGGTCACACATGCATGACTCCTTTTTGTTGTTTACCTTTATATTTTTCCTACTTTTTTAACTTTTATAGTTGGGCTGTCTAACTTAGCAGATGCACCAGTTTTTTTCAGTTGCAATGATCTGAAAATATTCACAGAGCATGGAAATACGGTTTTAACATGCTGATTGGAATATCCTGTCATCTTTGAAATTGGAAATAGAACAAACTAAGCGCCTAACGATTCTCATTATGTGGAAATATTTTGTATTTCCCTTAATATGGAGAAGATCTTCATTAATAAACTACGTTTCCTCGTCTTGGCTAAATGCCTATATTCTCACAAAAATGGCTCAAATATGTCAAACTCCCGAAGAGAATCCTAAAAAAAATTTGAGCATGTTGATACGAAATGGCTAACTCTTAACT